AAGTAACCCAACGAGAAAGTCGTCTAAAAGTTCATAAATTTGATGCCTACATAAAGATTTTAAGGCTGCAGTTGTCAGAATCGATCCACCACCAACGACCATCTGTCATCTCATCAGGTCTGTCCGAATTCTTTAGACAGTTATCTACAACAGGTAAAGTATGAGCTGCTCAGAACCTTTTCAAGCCCAATTCAAATGACCAGGTATCTTTAAATATATTACAAAAAGCTAACTTTGAGGAGCAAAGCTCTGGAGTTACTGGTCCGTCTACGTTCCAGCCCTCACCTGGATACGAGCGACTGAAATGAGCTTCCTTCGTAGGGTGGCTGGGCTCGGGGTGAGGAGCTCCATCATCCAGTGGGGAGCTCGGAATAGAGCCGCTGCTCCTCTACATCGAAGGAGCCAGCTGAGGTGGTTCAGGCGTCTGATTATAATGTTCGCTTTGGAGGTTTTTCGGGCATGTCCCACTGGAGAGAGACCCAAAACTTGCGGGAGGGACTATACATCCTCTCTAGCCTCGGAACACCTTGGGATCCTTCAGGAGGAGCTGGGTTTCTCTCACAACCTGAGTACGTGTTAGAAGTTGAGGAAAACTAAGTTGGAGTTCAAACGCCAAAGATGTGTTGTGATGCTTTCACTGACCTAAAACATTCTGGTCATCTGTGAGCATCCCTCTAACTTGTAGCCTTAAAGGCGAGTTTTTATCGGTAGTCCCTGACAGGTCGATGGTAGACCACTGAAATAACCTCATGCAATCAGAGTTACTGTATCATACTCAGCTCCTGAATGCTTTTATGGAAAAGTAAATTAATGCAACAAACAGAATCAACAGGAGACGCGTAAAAGCTCCCGGTCGAAAAGCAGTTGTCACTTGTCGGAGGCGGCGGAGCATCTGCTAAACTGAAATATTCTGAAGCAACAAAACGAACTGATACCCTCCGGAGGATACAATGGGACATATCACATTTGAAATCCAGTCTAAACAAAACAAAAGGAATATCACATGAAATTAAGGTGTGAAAAGGTGCCATGAATGTTTTATGTCTTCCAGCCGCTGACATAAAGGATATAAATATTGTATGCAAAGAGAAAACTCCCCTGTTTGAAGTCTTGAGAGCAAAGACAGTGGGAGAAGAAGGGAGGGGAAGCAGGTAATTACCAGTGGAGTTGATCTTTGACGGATCATTATATTAAAGCGGGAGGAGGATCAACCAAACACGGCTAACCTCGAACAGTGCTGGTCTCCACCTAGCTGTGACAGGAACATTGCAAGCCAGGGAGCCGCTTCCAGTTGACAAACAGCGCGACGAGAGAATCCCCGGGCTGCGAAGAATAAAACCTGACAGCCAACGAGGCGCCGAACAACAGCCGGGCCCAACCCAAAGCTAATGACACGTTCAGGGTTTTCAACCCTCCGAGCCTGTAAACTGTGGCTGATGGGAAAATAATGCTGCTCTTTGTTTTTCTAACAGATTCGACTTAATCCGATAGTCTGTGGAGAACTAAATTAGATTATTTTAGGATGTTTTTGCTGACAGAGCTGGCAATGGAAAAGTTGCTCCTGAAGTGTTTTGAAGTCAATTTTCAACGCATATAAAAGTTTTTAACCATGTAGTAATTGAGTTATTGTGGCCCAGGCTGCAATTATTAATGTCTACGACTATTTTTATATTTATTCCAAAAGAGAGGTGACCTGAGCCACAAAAACCGTCTTTAGGAAGACGATTATTAGCAAAGCCCCATTTTCCTCTGTAGTTTTTGTGTAGTTGTGTTAATTCTGACCCATCATGCTTTTGTTTTCCTGTTAATTTGTGTAAATCTAACTACTGCAAACTTTGTATTTTCTCAGCTTTATGTGAAAATGTTCAGCTCATTCAGGAGATGGACTTGGTTTTAGTCATTTATACACTTTCTTCCCCATAGAAACACACTGAGATCTCTTATTATTTCCAAACTATTTTTCTCTTTGGTTCAGCACACTGGCTTGTTGACATCTTTCTTCTTGCTGCCATTCTGCTCTAGCTTTGAGTGTTTCTTTTAGCTAGTGTTCTTAGCCTGTCATTAAACTGCTGTAGCACCAGTGTCCCTGCCCAAAGTAGAGCTCGTTTTATATTACCATGACCTAAGGAGGTGCCAACCAAGACAAAAGCTCCTTCTCCAACAGCGATGCCTTTAAATTGGACTGAAATAAGCAGCAGCTCACGTGGACGGACCAAATGCCTGCCTGGAAAAACGTTTGATGTTCAGACAAGACAGAGATTGAGATGTTTGCCCACAGTGACAAAAATATGTCTTAAGGAGTTGAGGTCAAGTTTACCAATTGGTGGTAAATCCAAAAAAAGAAGAGGACTACCTCCAAATTCTTCAGTCTCACCTCAAATTAGCAGCAAGACAACTGAATCGTGGACTCAGATTGGTGTTCAAGCAGAACGGGTTTCTGACTGGCTAAATCAGGTTGACATGGTAATGTATTCCTGAAAGTGTGTACGTGGTGCGCTGTATGTATGTCCCTAATCAGATCCGTACCTAGTTGTCGTCACAGCTGGCAGGTGCATGAGCAGGTGCATATGTGATGCTAACAAAGAGAAACGGTACAGTTCTTGAGTTGACTCCCGCCTCATTTTTCTGCCTAAGCTCAACCTATACCTGGTATAAGTATATTACATGGTGTCAGAAGTGGGATAGCTTTCAGATATACTTTCTCAGGTTATTATATTTGAAGCATTGCGGTTTTTATTTTATTACTGAGAAAGGGTGGATGTAATGTATTGCTGAAAAGTGCGTACGCAGTCTGAATGTCCGTAATCAGTATCTGTACCTAGTTGTCGTCACAGCTGGCAGGTGCATGAACAGGTGCATATGCGATGCTAATAAAGAGAACAGTACATCTCGAGTCGACCCCCTGCCTCACTTTCTGTCTAAGCTCAGCCTATACATATAACTATATTACACACATTTAGCTTTTGGAATGGCATTTCTAAAGCCCCAGCCTCAACTTGAATTATGGACTATGCTTAAATTAATATTGGTCAAATATCAGGCAGAAGCTTGTTGATGAAACATAAAACCTGCAGTCCAGGTGCAACTCGCTAAGAGACATTTAACCAAATATTAGCAGGAGTTTTAGTCTTCGTACACAAACTTCCTCTTGTTCGGGCCATAAATTTAACAAAACTTAATGTGCATATGCATCATCGCTAGACGGAGTGTTGCATACTCCTTTCATCACCCCAGTTCTAAGATCAGGGTCACAATTCAAGCTCAAAGGTTATACAAGGGCCAAGGCTGTAGACGTCTGTATTGCTGTTTAATAGTTAAATAAATAAAAAAAGCACTGAAGTTGTATTCTAGATAATCAGCCTAGTCTGGAAAAAGAATGGTTCTAATAAAACCCCAAATTAATTTGGAGTTTCTTGCTCGTGATGAGTGGATGGGAACGTTTGACCTCGTTGGTTGCCTTAGTGCGTTCAGTTGAACCGTGGACGAGTTCTGCATTTCTAAAGTGAGTTTTTCTTTGGCAGACTGAATCATCATGGAGGACACAAGGATGTGTGGTCATCATTGTACGTTTCTAATGACTCATGAGTTCTCTGCATTGAACCCATCACACCTGAGATACACCCAGGTGGAGCAGCGGGCAGCTACGTAAGCGCCTGGGAAGCAGTTAGGAATTAGCAGTGGTGGGATGTAATTAAGTACAAGTACTTTGCTACTGTACTTAAGTACATTTTTCACATATCTGTACTTTACTTAAGTACAGTGTTTGAGTACTTTCTCCACCACTGGGGATTAGGTGTCTTGCTCAGACACCACGACATGTGGGCATGACAGGGAGTTGAGCCTGCGACTTTCTGGTCCCAAGTCGGCTGCCCTACCTCTACACCATCTCGCCCCCCCCGAAAATTATTTTACAGCACCCAGGCGGTCTCCCATCCAAGTACTAACCAGGTCTGACTCTGCTTAGCTTCCGAGATCAGACGTGTTCAGGGTGGCCGTTGGCTTTTGGAGAATAAAACTTTCCTTTACTTCTCGACTCGGGGTGACACCCACCCCCACCTCATGCACACACCTCTGCCGGGCCAGGAGCCGCCACCGGGCCCAGCCGGTTCTTTGGATTCCCGGCTGCTGACCCCCATGAAAACCGAACACGCTGCTGAGCCTGTAACCCCCTCCCCGAAGCCCTTGTTCCCTCCAAACAGGAAAAAAGGGTTAATCGTATTTAACAATATGCTCTCTAACCCCCCTCCTCCCTTATCACTCCCCTTCTTGATTAGAATTAGAATCACATCTGGATCGTGTTCTGTCCCTCATTACTGCTGAATCTCATTAGAAGCTGCTCCCCTGGGGAGTCGGGGTGGGGGGGGGTTTAAGAACACTTTTCTCTTTCTTCCTGCCTCTTGCTCATTTCGTCTGCCTCGCCGCTTCGTCTCTTCTGCGTTTACATTAGCGGAAGTCCTCATCTGAGGGAATGACTGAGCACCGCCACACTCTTCCTCCTCCTCCTCCTCCTCGCAGAGCCTGGAAATTGTTTTACAGCGCCAATTAAAGTAGGTACGTCGAGTGTTTTTTTTTTTCCAGGGTATGTATAATTCACACAGTATTATTTGTTACGCTCAAACAGAAAAAAAAAAGAAAAACCCACTAAAATAGGACTCGGTAAGTTCCACATGCAATAATAAAAAAAAAAAAACTACACCAAAGGTTTTAAAATATAGTCGACAAGAGGAAAACGAGGGAGCTTATTTATGGCATCCTAAAGTCCAACTGATGGCATTATTATTAATAGTATCGCAAAATAATAACGCGCATTTTAAACTTTGTTTCTGTGCAAACACTGGGTGGGAATTAATTTAATGTTGGAGGAAACATATTAAAGAAAGCTGAGCTTCAAAACATTCCGTTAAAGCCAAATAAGAGCACCCAGAAACAAACAAGGCTTTCTTTATTTGCATATTTTATATAAGTAATAAAAAAGTGTGGAGAATATACAATCAGTCAAATATTTAGCAGTGGATAAACTGGACTCTGTCAGGAATGTGGCGCTCTGAGGGAAAACTTTTTACATCATCGGTGAGTCGCAGAGAGCGCAGGGAGCCTGCAGGATCTTCTTTATCCACTCTGGATCTGAGGGGAAACATGAATATATACGATGAAGGTTAGTGCACGATTTGAGGAAAACATTGTTCAACACTGCAACAACAATATCGGTTGCAAAAAACAAAAAGGCATTTCCTCGCTAAGATTTGATTTATCAAAGTTTCCCTGACCTGTCGTCACGGTGACCTAAAATACACCAGACTAACAGTCCGGCACGGTGGTGGAAGCATCATGCTGTGAGGCCGGTGCATCGCTCATACCAGATGGACCTGCCGGTACCTTTTCTTCAAGTTAACCTCAAATCAACAACTAAACAGCCGACATAATCCCTGAGCAAGTGACCCCGCCTTCTCTCGTTACGTTTTACGGAAGCGGCCATTTTGCATTTTTTGGAACCAGTCTGTCCACCAGCGATGTGGCGCTTTAAGTCCGCACGATCACGGCATTGCATGAGCTTTCTTTAAGCACGACGGCTAAAATGTGTGCATATTTGAACATATAGCAATAAAGTAAAACGTAAATAGCTGAAAAGATAATTATGGAGATATTTGTATTCATTATTATTGGCAATATCCTGCACATTTATGTATACATGTTGGGATTGTTTAAAAATTCTAGCAACGTTTTTTCTTTATAAAGCCTTTAATGGTCTTACCTCGCCCCATCTCACTGACCTGTTACCCCCCCCCCCCCCCCCCCATGTTTCTGATTGGATAAATCAGGCTTGGAATTGTCCTTCAAAAGCCCCAATCTCAAAATGACAAAAAAGTTTGTGGACCACGATAAAAAGTTGGGTCTGTCCCATAAAACCAAATAATTTAGCCAAGAAGAGGAGCGGCCAAACATCAGGGTCTTTCTGGGTGGAGTTTGCATGTTCTTCTCGTGCTTGGGTGGGTTTTCTCCGGGTACTACGGTTTCCTCACACAGACCAAAACATACATGTTAGGCTGCCTTCAGGCCTCCCTTACAAAAGAGATCTGCGATCTCAATGGGACTTTCCTGGTTAGTTAAATAAATAAATAGATATAGATAGATATAGATTATATAGATAGATATCGATTATATAGATAGATATAGATATAGATTATATAGATAGATATAGATTAGATAAATAGATATAATTAGATAGATATAGATATAATTATATAGATATAGATATATATATATAGATCATATAGATAGATATAGATTATATAGATAGATATAGATATAGATTATATAGATAGATATAGATTATATAGATAGATATAGATATAGATTATATAGATAGATATAGATATAGATTATATAGATAGATATAGGTTATATAGATAGATATCGATTATATAGATAGATATAGATATAGATTATATAGATAGATATAGATTAGATAAATAGATATAATTAGATAGATATAGATATAATTATATAGATATAGATATATATATATATAGATTATATAGATAGATATAGATTTATATAGATAGATATAGATATAGATTATATAGATAGATATAGATTAGATAGATAGATATAGATTAGATAGATAGATATAATTAGATAGATATAGATATATAGATATAGATTATATAGATAGATATAGATTTATATAGATAGATATAGATAGATATAGATTATATAGATAGATATAGATTAGATAGATAGATATAGATTAGATAGATAGATATAATTAGATAGATATAGATATAATTAGATAGATATAGATATAATTAGATAGATATAGATATATAGATTATATAGATAGATCTAGATAGATATAGATAAGATAGATAGATATAGATAGATCTAGATGAGATAGATCGATAGATCTCGATCGATCAATCGAGATCTATCGATGACTGATAGATCGATCGATCAGCCAAAAGCTTGTTGATGGATACAAAAGGCCCGTGGTCCAGGTGCAACTTGCTAATAGACATCAAACCAAATGCTACAGGGGTGCGTTTAGATAAATGTGTGTAGATCAGAGAAAATGTGCAGTAAATTCAAATCTGCGCATGCAGTTCTTGTTTTTACAAATCATTTACGTCGTACGATATGTAATCACTGCATCCTGGGAAAAATAACCGTTTGAATAAATCTTTGAAAGCCGCCAAAATTAATCTGGCGTTCACGGTTTGCACAACTGTAGGTAAGCATAAAAAGTATTTACTGTCTGAAAATGTGTGTTATCTTAAACAACAAGTACATTTTGAGGAATGAAAACTGAACCTGAGGTTTGAGGAGAGCGTGGTCAAATGGTAGCGACTGTGACAGGTGCCCCTAAAAACAGCACAGACCTGTCAACCTTTGGCTCAGACGGGCAGGAATGACCAGCAGAGCTCAGCCTCGGGCTCTCAGACAAGAAGGATAAAGATGTGAGGTGCAGACAGCAGCCACATGATGCAGGCTTTATATATTTATTTGTCTCCTCCAACCCCACAAGGACCACAGAAATCCAACTAAAACTGACTGCTGGGAACAATCAACCAAACAGAACCACTAATGTAATGTAATAAACGTCTAAAGGACGAGTTCACTTTTTAATCCCATGAAAGTAGATGCTATTGTGCTTTAAGGCTGTTTTTACAAGCAACAGATCGCTTTAGTTCGCCTTCAACAAACTATCCGTGTCATTAAATTACCATATTTTCCTCCGTACACGTCGCATCAGTCCAAATATGTCTAATAAAGTGGGAAAAAAAACATAAGTCGCTTCGCCGCATAAGTCGCATCTATTATGCGTCATCGCTGACCACCCAGAAACGTGGGCCGGTGTTGTGCCAAAAACTGATTGGCTGCCAAATGGCGGCTGTGGGAGCGTGCATGGGAGGACTTTAACAAGAATTTAACAATATTAACACTTAAAAACAATTATTTGTTTGTTTGAAATTATAGCAAAGGTGTGTCTCAGTTGAACTTTTCCTTAATAAATGCACTTTAATGGTCAAATCAGCTGCATTTCTCCTGGGCGGCGAAATGCAGCTGATTTGACGTTTGCTCCAGGAGTTCGGGAGCGAGACGAAGGTGACTTTGTATGGCAAGTCAAGTGTCTCATTAATAGCCACTTTTACCGATTAATGAGACACTTAGCTTGCCATATTACTCAAGCGCTCTCTAGTGGCTGAAAATGGTAGTGTTCAATATTTTCCATGTCGGAATGAATTAAATCATCAGATTTCAGCCAAAAATTGGTTTATAAATATGGGGAAAAAAACATAAATAAGTCACTTCACTGTATAAGTCGCAGGGAATGCAAATTTATGCAAAAAGGTGCAACTTACACAGCGAAAAATATGGTATTCTCATGTCGTTTAAATCAGGTTGATGCTTTAAAGACAAACCGGGATTGGTCAAATGTTCGCAGAATGTGGATTCAAGACCAGATTCAGTTTTTTTTCTTGTTTTGTGTGGCAGCAGCAATGCTGTTGTATCATGACAATATGTATTTTATATCTTAAACATCATTATCCAAACAAAAAAATAGTTACAGTTTCAAGCACTTCATTCAAAACCTTTAAAGCGTTTTCAAGAATTTCAAGCTCCTATATAAACCCTCTTCTACATTATGTGAATTATGCTAATTTGAGTGAAACATTTAGATTTAATATTATTATTATTATTAAATGAAAAATACTTATAGTAAATAAATAAAAAAGTAAAAATGGTATTTGGCTATCGATATCGGCTGCCCTGATTTTTAAAGAAAACTCCACATCAGCTAAGCTATAGGTTACATCCTTTAAAGCAGTGGTTCCCAAACATGGTCCTTGAGGAACACCATCCTGCATGTTTTAGTTGCACCTGATTCACTGGTTTAATTACTTTCATAAGTTCAGCAGAAGCCCGTTAGTCACCTTTCATTCAAATCAGGTGTGTTGGAGCAGAGGAACTAAAACATGCAGGATGGTGTTCCTCAGGGACCAGGGTTGGGAACCACTGCGAAATTCATCAGATTGAAATTGTGGATTTTATTTGTTTATCCAAAAAGAGGAAACAAAACAAGTATTAATAAATACATTTTAAAAAGCTTATTGCAAAGAAACCAAGTTAAAGACCCGTTTCATCATTGTCCTGGGAAGGAACAAAAATCTGAATGAACAGTAAAATAAACACTTTTTAAAAGAAGAAATAATTATTTCTGCTGCCAGGATTTGTTGCTTTTAATTATTCTAAGAGTCCAGATTATTTTTGGAGAAACACGTTTCAATAAACGCTTCCTTTCATTTTGAACCAGTTCCCCAACTCTTTAAATCTTGAAGCATTTATCGCTGTAATATAAACTAGTTTTGAAATAAACACATTTTTGGCTGTAAATGTTATTTTTTTAATGAAAGCTACAGTGATAGCTTATTAAAAACAGATTATAATGCTCTCTTTTAGCTTTATATTTGCATTTTAAATTTTATTTTTTTGTGTAAACGCGTTTATATTTGTAAATGTGCCTTTCTGAGCTGCAGCTCTTATTTAAAACAGCGGTGAGTTCTGACGTTTGAATCATTTCAACATGGAGAGGGGAAATAAATGATCTGAATCCTTAATGCTTGCTTAAAAAAAACAATAAGTCATGATTGTTTTCTTTTGATGAACTGGATTCCTCACATAAGATTAAACAGATAATTTTTAAAACTGGTTCGACTTATTAGGCATTAAGTTCTCGAGCGAGGATCTGAGCAGCAGAAGGCTGACGTTGAGGGTGACGGGAGCGGACGGCTGACGGAGCGCGCTGTTGTGAAACGGAGGAGGAGGCGGATGGAAAGTGGCGCTTACCCTCAGGCTCTGGCAGTCTGGCGATGCTATCCTGCAGGAGGCAGCGTCTGAACGTCAGCGTCTGGCAGGCCTGGTGTGACAACACACACCTGGAAGGAGACCGCGACAAATACATTAGGAGGCTGGATGGCAGACACACACACACACACGCAGGAGCTAAAAGTTTGGTGGAAACTGCGCTGATGTGCAAGTGACGGGCACGGAGATGGAAACCTGAGCCCAGCAGAGCCAGCTGCGGAGCAGAAAGGTTTGACAGATGAGATTTATGAGAAGATGAAGGGCGACGCGTGAGCAAATATCAAAAGGTGGGTGGATTGATTACCGCTCGGAGAATAAATAAACTGCCAAAAGGAGGATTCAATTCTCATCCTATAACCGTCGACAGAAAGAGAAGAGCCCTTCACTTCCTGTGAGGGGAAACAAACAAACAAACAAACAAGCAGCTGAGTGACATTCGGACCTGAGCCACACGTGTCCGTTTTCACAGACGGCTTGTTTGTGGTCGGCGAAGGGCAGCACGGCCTGACAGAGGCTGCAGCGCTCGGCAAACATCTGCTTGTTCATCTTGTTCTTAACGTGGCCGATCAGGACCTGAAAACAAAACCCCGCAGAGAAGACAAGAACTTCAAACTTTCTTCGACAAACAAAGATTTGATGCAATCAGCTGGCTTCCATTCTTAAATTAATAATTTACACAAACTGTTTTTTTTTTTTTTCTACCTGGATGGAAAATATTGGGACGAATTACAGATCTTGTTGTTCCATATTTTCCTAACGGAGCACTTTGCTCTCAGACTGCAGGTTTACTTGTGGTTCCAAGAGCAGGATGGGAGGAAGATCTTTCAGTTCTCAGGCTCCTCTCTTGTGGAACCAACTTCCAGTTTCTGTCCATGAGGCCGACACATTGTCCAGTTTAAGACTGGGATTAAGACTTTCCTTTTTGCCAAAAGTTCATGCTCAATAATCCAGGTAGAAATCCAACAATGTTCAGTTTGTTCATCTGGACGATTTCTTTTTTTGCTGAGACGTTTCATCCTGCATCCAAAGGACTTCTTCAGTCAATGAAGTGGGTTTTTTTTGTGTTGTGAACCATTTTGGCATGACTGCCCCAGGGAAGTTGATGGGGGAGAAGGCAGGCCCCAGAAACCATCTTATCACCAGCAAACTGGTTTTTCCCACTATGGGAGTGTGGTATTTGTGGGACTCCAGGTTGTTTGTGGCTCCTCAGACTGAAGAAGTCCTTCGGATGAAATGTCTCAGCAAAAAAAAGAAACCGTTACTTTTTGTTAAATCCTATAGTTGAGGTCGGCTTGGGTTTCCTGAGCCATCCCTTAGTTCTGCTGCTTTAGGCTTAGACTGCTGGAAGACAAAATGACCACATTTCTTCACTCTGCTGTTGTCTTTACTTACTCTACCTGTTTGTATTTATTATTTATATCCTTAACATGTTTTCTTTGTCTTTCCTCCAATAAAAAGTCTACCGAGACCTGTCATTCTGTGTTAATCTGTTCCTCCTTCCTGTTCCTCTCAAGCTCCATTTGGTCAAAGCAGATGGTCGCTCGTCCTGAGCCTGGTTCTGCTGGAGGTTTCTTCCTGTTTAAAGAGTTTTTTCCTTTCCACTGTCTCCTTTGTGCTCGCTCAGGATGGAAGACTGTGACGAAGTGAAGACTCGACACAATCTGCTGCTTCCTTAGATAGAAAACTTTTACTAATTGGCTTTTTATATATGAATGTTTCTGTTCAGTGTCGTGAGACGACTTCTGTTTTAACTTGGAGCTATAGAAATAATCTGAATAGAATTAGATTAAACTGGACCTGCTTGTCTCGTACACACAGCACCCTGGGACGTCTTTTAGTTGTGAATCGGTGCGACACGTGCAGCTGAATGAGGTAAAGTTTACTGTAAAATAAAAGTCATGCAGGTTCATTAAAGCAGACATTAACGAAATCAGATGTTTCTGTTAGAGGTCGACTGATCTGAGGATTTCTCTTGTCCATGCAGATTTTAATATAGGGCCGCTATAAAACACAAAATCCTACTTATTATTTTTATATTTTTGTGTACTTTTACTAAACAAAATATTAAAATGATTGTATAAATTAAATGTTTATTGAACAACATTTAAAATAACTTGTTTTAATATAGAAGAGCTTTCTCACTTGATAGAAACTAAACTGTGGACCTCAGTCGCTGCTTCATTTTTCTACTTGATAATTTGCACGTACTGGCATGATGGATGGACTTCTATTAAAAATCTATAATTCCTTCCAAAGAAAAAAAGGAACTAAAGCAAAAAATGTGCATATATCATTTTAAGTGTCTAAGTTCTTAAATACTTGTTTGATTATTGTAGACATGGTGTTTATTGGCTATCGGCAGCCCTGATCCTTTCAGAAGTCGGACCTGTTTTGTAGTTCAGGACTCGGGACACGAGAGCGAACGAGTCAGAGAGTTGTTACCTCTGAAGCTCGGTCGTTGGGATCTTTGGACAGGTAATCCATCAGGCCGCAGGTGGGTACGCTTGTGTTCTGCGTGGTCCAAGTGTTCAGGTAAACCACCCCCAACACTTTCTTCATGTTTTCCCTCGTCAGACGGGTCTCTAAAGTTCTGATCTGATTTAGCACCTCAGCCCTTCGCTCCTCTTCCTGCGTCTTTCTGACTTCGTCAGACTCGACGTCCGCCCGGTCTGTCACCCCCGCCTCCTTCTCATCGTCCCTCACTGACACGTCCATTTCCGTCGGAGTGAGTTTCCAGCAGTGGCCTTCCTGCAGAGCCTGCAGGGACTGGTGGAGAACTCGCAGCAAAAACAGCTTGAAGCGCAACAAGTAGGGCAAGTCTACTTCCTGGATTTTCTGATCCAGCTGCTCCAGCAGCGGCGCAGGGATGCGCTTGTTTTTCAAGATGTCCCACCTCACCAGGTCGAGCAGGTCAGACATTTTATACAGGTTCTGTGCGGGGGAGTTGAGCAGGAGCTCTGCTGCAGTTTCAGGAGCTTTCAGAGCCAAGAAGTGAACCTTGTGAGAGATGTAAACAGAATGAAAGCCACCAACGACCCCTTGAGTGGTGACCATAGTGATGTACGCCCCACTGTGGCTCACAGCAATCCCGTGGATCCTCCTTCCCGTCAGGCTCTCAGGTTGCCACAAGTCCTCAACTTTAAAAGTCACAGAAGTTTCCGTCAACCGTGGCGTCAGCTTTTTAATCCACCCATCTATGGAGGTGGTGTAAACATGATCCTGACTGACGGCAAGGGACACTATAGAAAGAGAGTGCAGCCCCGCCAAGTGGGAATTGTGCACGTTTAGTCCAGCTGGTGAAATCCGAAGTAGACACCAGAAGACGTAGCAGCCGCGCGAGGCGACAATGAGGCTGCAGCTGGATTTGTGGATCGGGTGCATCAGAGGGATGCAGTTAATGTTTTCAGCAGGAATATCGTCGCACTCCTTCCACAGGACGATGGGGTGCCGGAGGGTGCAGTAGCCCTTCACTTTGGACAGGCTGACCGGCACGATCTTCACAGGTCCCTCCTCGCTGCCGACGATCAGGCCGCTCATCTGACGATCCCCGTCCTTGTACTCCCACCACGCCAGGCCGCTGGGTCTGGGAACGCCGGACTCGATCAGGTCGTAAAACTCCACGTCGTCTCCGACTGAAAACGGCAGCTCAAACCTCCATAAAACGAGGTCACCGTTTTCCATGAGGACGGCGAGGAGGACCATGTCCACATTCACGCAGGTGTTGTCCTGCTGAACCTGCCTCATCGTGTAGACGCTGGACCACTCCATCCTCCGGGGCGTCTGCATCCAGAACCGCCGCTGCAGCTCGTCAAAGTCCAACAGGTCTGCCTCTGGAGGCTGGCCGTCTTTCTTGGCGTAGCCGCGCTCCTTTAGCCTCTCGCTGTACTTTTTGGAAAGATCAACCAGGAGGGTCCACTCGAGATGCTTGCAGCTGTTATGAACGGTGAGCCTGTTGTCGAGCGTCAGGCAGGCGAGCAGACAGCATCCAGTAGAGTCGCAGCCTATCGGGGACCAGCTGGCGTACTTTATTCCTTTGTGCATGCCAACTGATGGGTTGATCACCATGTCCGCCAGAAAAACTTGCTTTACTGTGGGATCAGGATGTGTGGCGAACTTTTCCATCGCCTGAGCTACCACTGCTGCTCGTCCCACCTGTAAAAAATAAAAACCCACATTAAAACTCACAAGAAATTCACTATTTTTTGAACAAGAGTATCCACGGCTGCTCTGTTGATCAGCACATTTCATAAAAACAGATACTTGTCGATGTAAAAACAGCACGAGTAAAAATTTATTAAATACGGAGTTTATTTAGCAAATGTGTAACATCTTCTTTATATCTCATGTTAGGATCACAATGACAGAATCCGCTTTAAAACTGACTCAGTTAAAATTATGTAGATCTCTCAAAGAAACTATGTATCATTTTTTTGCTTTAAAATTTGATGGACAAAATATAAGGAGTACAAGCTTGTATTTTTCTACATCCGAGGTGATCAAGTTGCAGTAATAGTTTAATTTAAATTTAGGACTTTTAAGACTTTTTAAAACTTTACAAAAGCCCAATCAGCTGATCAAACAGCTGTTCACCATGACAACATTTACACCCAAACAAAACAAAAGTGATGCTGTGCATCACCACAAGATGAGCAGGAACGGTGCTTCACTGAAAAAAAAGAAAGAAAACGGACTTGACTCCTCACATGATTTTAGGTTTTAATTTAAAAATCAATCCATATCCATCTTCTACATCTTCCCCAACATCCCTCTCCCCAGTGACACTTTACAACTTCCCCTGGAGAAGACCCAAGGTGTTCCCAGTACCAGGTGAGCTTTGGAACGTAGACGGACCTGTAAAAACTTTAAAATAATTAATTCCTAAATAAAAATTTTGTTACTTTTGAGGCTTCTTGGGACCTTTTGGATAATCAATACAAAACCTGAAATGCACACAGCTGCACTGAAAAATATAACGATTTGTCTCCCTGCTATGAAAAACAGGGCTTAGCAGCAGATGTGCACAGAGTTGTCCCTGCACATGTTTTGTACAGTGTAGAAATCAAGAAAAAGGGCAAATAATAACATTTATCACTGCGAACTGACTGTTTACTTCATCAAACATGATACAAGTTTCCTTTAGACAAGAGGTGCTTTAGTGCAAATATGAAGGAAAAGTAAATAAAGCAACAACTCCATAACACAGCTGAAATTACATTAATGAAAGCTAAACATAAACCATGAACAAAATTTAAATTCTTATACTATTTAATCCATAAATGCAGCATTAATAAGCTGTTGCTGATTCGAAGTGATTCAGACACAAAGAGATGTTGAAGCAGATATGCTGCTGCCCTCTGTTGTGTTTTTAGCATTACCTAAATTAGCATAATTAGCACAGTAGCTAAAATGTCGCGACTGAGAAGCTAAACTAAGCGGTGCACACCGGCGGGTATGAGAGCTCACTCACCCGCAGTTTGTGCGTCTCGTTCGGGACAGAAATGGACGTCCGGTGCAGCGTCAGGTCCTGTTTGTTGCTGTGGACGTCGCAGACCAGCTCCAACACTGACAGGGAGCTGGAGGTACACACGGCCAGACGGTGGTCCTGCGACCAGGACAGAGGCTGCGACCCGCTCACCGGGGACAGGAGAGGCACGACCGGGTCGCGTTTAACCGGCACATCCCGCGAGCTGGACACCACATCGTCCTCGCACTCAGGCTCGGTCTTGATGACAATATTACCGGGCACTAACGGAGCAGACTCACAGGCGGCCTCCATCTTTTCCGGCAACAAGAAGTGACGTAGCGGAAGTAAGCTGCGGGAGGCGGGACTTCCTCCACTGCGGCCCTCCACTTTAAATACTGTAAACCAAAAATGATAGATAGATAGATAGATAGATAGATAGATAGATAGATAGATAGAT